GGCCGGGCTCCCGCCGGACCCGAGTCCCCCGGGGAGCCTCCGGGCTCTGCCAGAGCCGCTCAGGACTGCGCCTTTCCTTCTCCTTGAACCATGAGAGGAAATGAGGGAACGCGGGGTGTCTGGTTGGCCCAGTAACTCATTTCTCAGCTACTGAGAGGCCGGCTGACAGGACCTCGGCGTGAGGAGAAAGGAAAAAAGAAGGGCTTTCTTTCTCCGCATGTAAACGAAGGCCGCTTCTCTGTGTTTAAAATTCGAGAAGGCTCGTATTGTAGAAGCAGTAACTATTCGTTGCAGAACAGTTTAGAGTACAGGTGGGAAATCTGTTGTCAGATAGTCTGCTATTTACTCCTTGAAATATCTAGCTGCGAACGAGTTTTTCTGCCTTCGTGTGTACATGTGCACACGTGCGTAGACTTATAAACAAAAAATAGTTTTTCCTTCGTGTGTGTGTTACAGGCACCTCTGTTCTCCGTGGAGCATCTAGAACTGTGCCCGCCACCTAGGAGGCCCTAGCAAATCTATGCTGAGTAAATTAACCATTTATAAAATGCTTGCCACTTAGATGTGTTGTAAGCAGTTTTGAAGCGATTATTATTCATTTTTTTAACTACTATTTTAAGTATTATTTAACTTACTTTCCAAGTATAGGACAACATTTTACAAAGAGAGTCATAGTGTTTTGTAGGTTAATAGATCATTAGAGCCTGCAAAGAAGTATGCACAGGAGAAAGTCTGGTTAGAGAAGTACCCAAATGTTAGCAGTGCGTGTTCTTGAACTCGGGTGGTGTTTTCCTTTTTGCAGCTTTTTTGTATCTTCCAAAATTTTCGTAATACATGTGTATTATGAAAATTGTAATGATCATTAGAAATATGCCATGTTAATGCAAAGCATTTATATGTAGTAATAATACATAATCTTCATAAGTAGTAATAGCTGTTGTAAATGGTGTTATGCTAAAATATTCTTTGAGAAAATTTTTTTAATTACAGTTTACTTCCAGTATTATTTTGTATTGGTTTCAGGTATACAACATAGGGGTTAGACAATCATACTTACAAAATGTTTCACCTGATATTTTTAGTACCCACCTGGTACCATACACAGTTATTACAATATTACTGACTATATTCCCTATGCTGTACTTTGTATCCCCGTGACTATTTTTTAACTACCAATTTGTACTTCTCAGTCCCTTTACCTTTCACCCATCCCCCCAACCCCCCTTCCCTGTAGCAACTACCAGTCCACTCTCTGCATCTGAGTCTGTTTGTTCTTTAGATTCCTAAAATTATCTTTGTTAATTCTTTTGTCAGACTATGCTCCTAGAAGGACAAGTGTTTCGAGGACTTGCTCCTACAGCTTCTCTCTCTGCAGAATCAGGAAAGAGTGACAAGGGACTGCCACCGAATTCCAAGAAGCAAAGTCCACCAAAAAGTAAGATTTTAATAGGGGGGAAATGGAAATAAAATCAGTCAACTTCCTACAAATAGAAAGGAGTTTTACTAGCTACATAATTTATGATTCTTCATTTCCGGCAGCATCCAGATTATAATCAGATATAAGATCTGTAACAGAATCTAGACCAAACACATCAGTAATGTAACAGTGTTTTTCAACATTTAGCCCTGAACTGGTTCTTTCTGTATTTTCTAAATACCAGACTCTGATGTGTAGCAATGGGATGCAGAGCATAAAGGCTCTGGGTATTTAGATAGCCCTGATACAGAGCCCATACTCCCATGAAGTAGCCATGAACCCCATTCTCCTTTTCTTTCCCTGATTGTTACTTTTTTCAGTGTTTTGAGACTCACCTGTGGTCTCCCAGGCTTTGCTCAGCCACAGTCCAGGACTGCAGGTGTCAACATTTTGTGACTGTGAAGAGTTAAGAACAGGCACCGTTTTCATTATATGACTCACTTTGATGGAGCATGATGTCTGCTTGGTTTCCAGCTCCTTCCAGTCATTTTGACTTTTAGAACCAGTTTTACTTTACTTTTCCCCTGAATGCCAATGTAGCATACCCTCATTGGAGGAAATGCAACAGTATGTTTTAAATATTTCTGGGAATTTTATGTTCTATTCCCCACTCATTATTAATTATAACCTAAGGTCATTGCATTTAGTCTTAACTGATGAAACCTTAGTAAACACTTAAAAAAATATGTAGTATCTGTAGTCTCTTGGCAGATCTTTTTCTTTTTTATTGAATTTATTGGAGTGATGTTGGTTAATAAAATTATGTAGGTTTCAGGTGTACAATTCTATAATATACCATCTGTGGGTTGTACTGTGTGCTCACCCCCCCAAGTCAAGTCTCCTTCCATCGCCATTTATCCCCCCTCTACCCTCTTCTATCCCCAACACTTTCCCCTGGTCGTCACCACACTGTTGCTTGTCTGTGAGGGTTTCAACTGTTTTGTGTGTGTGTGTAATCCTCCACCTTTTTCACCCAGCCCCACAGCATCCTTCTCCTCTGACAGCTGTCAGTCTGTTCTCTGTCTGTGAGTCTGTTTCTATTGTGTTTATTAGTTTTCTTGGGCAAATCTTTAATCTTCATGTGGGGTTTACAATGATAATTCAGTTTGTCTTATTTTCATAATAATACCATTTTCTCAGTTTAAAAAGTCTTTAGATTCTTTTGTTTTGTCTCTCCTTGGTCTGCACAAAAAAACATGAGTAGGTTATAAGATATTGGCACTCTGTTGAGAGTGCCAGCCTGCCAACTGCTTTTCACATGCCATTGATCTCAGCTGAGGAGACACCTTCCTGGTGGTGTCTTCAGCGCCTGTACACTGGAGGCCTGATTTCGACAGGAACATTATTTAATTCTGTCCTGTACCTGCTTCATTTTTAAGTCCACTGTTCTCTTTTTTTTATTCGCAAGTTTTAAAATAAGTATCTGAAACGTAAGGACTTCTATTTATTTTTGTGGGGGGGGGCATAACCATAATAGCATTATCACACCTAAAACATGTTTATAAGAATATCAGTTAAAATCTGTATTATGCCTGGCATGTTTCTGACATTCTTTCGTTGTTTACTGATGANTGGGGGGGCATAACCATAATAGCGTTATCACACCTAAAACATGTTTATAAGAATATCAGTTAAAATCTGTATTGTGCCTGGCATGTTTCTGACATTCTTTCGTTGTTTACTGATGAATGAGTACTTGAGTTTCATTACTAATATTACCCTTGGCCTTGGAGAAGTTTTATTCTGCCCCCTACTTGGTCAATAAGTTTATCTGAAAAATCTTCATAGAAAATTGTGGGTTGGTTTATTCTCTCTCAGCAGCCCATTCCTGAGCCCTGCGGAAGCTTGCCGCCTTCTGAGCTACCTGATCTTTCTTCTGAGCAAGAGGCATTTTGGAATGTCTCTTCTTTTAATGTCTTACGCTTTTTCTCATAGACTGGATTCTCTCATATAGCAGCATGAGCTTTCTTGTACATCTCTGTCGTGTGTGGAGTTACGTTCCTTATGTGCTGAGAGAACTGTTTCTTGTAAGCGTCTTCATCTTCCATTAGGTAGTGCAAGTGATCTGCAATGTTCTGACCCATGATGTGCCTCTGGTGTACTTCCACATTGAATTCCTTGCTTTCTGAATCATAACCAGGGAATTCTTTGGTACTTAAGGGATAGACAAGCCTCCATTCATAGCTCCCTTCAGGGCCCCCAAAACTTTATTTCCAGTAGTAGCTCTGGCATTCCCTGCATCCAGATAGCAGGTGAAGGCACCACGTTGGCCATCAATGCTTTCCACACTGCATTCACCGCCACTTGGCCTACATAGATCTTGTCCATGCCAAGCCTATTGAGCAGCCTACAGGCCAGTGCAATGTACTGCAGTGTAAATTGTCAGGTCAACCTTCACACTATACTTTGGGAATTTATGAGCGTAAGCTGCACAGACTATCCTATCTCCTATATGGGCACAGGCAGTCGACACATGATCTCTCTGTTGGTTACACCACTACCATCTTGTAGTTGGGTGTGTGGTGCTTAGTTTTATCCTAGATTACCAAGCATTTCTGGCATAGTAATCAGTTTTACCCTCTCATCATCCTCTGAATTTCACTTGGTATCTCTTGAAGTAGGCCTTTTTTTTGACAACTGTAACAATCCCCATTTTGCAGAAGGGAGACCCACGTTCTCGGCTCCAAAGTTTTATCTTTTATCTGCAATCTTGCTTCATAGGTTTATGAAATTGGATTAATGAATTTTAAAATATCATGGCAGAACCAAAGATGCCTTTTTTAGAAACATGCTTCTGTATGTGAGTGGAAATGGGGCGCTTCACCCTGTGACGTTTGAGTGCAGTTATGAGAAGGGAACCCTGAGCTGGGAGTTGGCCATGGGCTCATAGTTTCTACCTCTGGACACAGCAGGCCCTGCAGGCCCCTGAGCCTCGTTCCCTTTGTGCCTGAGTGGGGTCAGCGAGCATGCCGGCCTCACTGGGTCGATGTGAGATGGGTGAGTGGCGATAAGGAGATGTGATGTGTGCATGTGCAGTTTTCAGAACTACACTGTCTTTAACACACGTTACATTTGTATCACAGAATTTTAAAAATAATAATCCCTGTATGAAGATAAAGAAGTAATGCCGCTAATGTGGTGTGTGCAGGCAGTGTTTCCCAGAAGCATCGGTTATCAGTAGGCATGAGACAGAAGTGCTTCTCACTGCAGGTGGCACATTGCCGGGTTAAACCCCTGCCAGTGGTGGGTTTACATTTGTCTGTCATGGAAAGTCACTACCAAACTAAAACATTGTCCAGTATATCAACACCTTGTGTCTAGACAAACATCAGAGATTCCATGAAAACACATATAAATTCATCCTTATACTCAAAGTGAGAGCCATTGTCCCTCTACATGGCAGTGCTGTCTTCCAGGGACATCATTCTGCACTACTGAATGCAGACTTGGTGTGGGTGCTGGCACTTTGTACAGCAGTTACTGCTGGCGGCCACAGATCGTGGCAAGCTTCCTTCTGAGTCACAAAGAGGACTCTGGCTGTGCTGCAGCGAGTCAGGAATGGACTCTCAATAAAAAGCAGAATGCTGTGGTTTAGTCTATTAGCCCTAACATGGAATTCTCCCAACACCTTAGGAATAAAAGAAACTTTAAAGCATTCTTATTTCACATAATGGTAGTTACCTTTTCAAACAAAATTGCTAAACTACATCATTGTTAATCCCATTTGAAATTTTCTTTCCATTTTTAGTATGTGATGGATCAACATATAATGTAGTTTTAATGTTAAATTTATTTACAATTTTAAAAACTCTATGACAGATTTTGGAAGATTCAGGCATAATTTTTACACTAAAAGCAGCCTATCTAAGATAAGCCGTATTTTAAGTTACCTTTTTTTAATCTCCTTCCCCTTTTCCACCCAACCCTCCACCCTGTTCCCATCTGGCAACCATCAGTTTGTTCTGTGTGAGTTTGTTTCTGTTTTGTTTTGCTTGTTAACTTTTTTTTTATATTTCACATATAAGTGAAATCATACAGTATTTGTCTTTCTCTGACTTATTTCACTCAGCATAATTAAACCTTTAGTTCCACCCATGTTGTTGCAAATGGCAAGATATTATTTTTTTATTGTTGAATAATATTCAATATATATACACCACATCTTTATTCATATCGATGGGCATCTAGATTGCTTCCATATCTTAACTGTTGTGAATAATGCTACAGTGAACATAGGGGTGCATATATCTTTTCAAATTAGTGTTTTCATTTTCTTTGTATAAATACTCAGAAGTGGAATTGCTCGGTCATAGAGCAGGTCTATTTTTAACTTTTTGAGGCACCTTTGTACAGCTTTCCACAGTGGCCGCACCAGTCTGCATTCCTACCAGCAGTGCATGAAGGTTCCCTTTTTTCCACACCTCGCCAACACTTGTTCTCTTTTTTTAATCCTTCCCCAAAGGTACCCTTTTTTATTGATTTTTAGAGAGAGAAGCATCGATGTGAAAGAGAAACATTGATCAGTTTCCTCTTGTATGAGCCCCAACAGGAGCTCAGACTTCCTACCTAGGCATGTGCCCTGACCGGGAATTGAACCTGCAGCCCTTCTGGTGCACTGGAGGACACCCCAACCAACTAAACCCCCCGGCCAGGGCATTTCTTTTCTTCTGATCATAGCAGTCTGACAGGTGTGAAGTGGTATCTCATTGTGGTTTGGTTTGCATTTCCCTGGTGATGAGTGATGTCAAACATCTCTTTATATGTCTGTTGGCATCTGTATGTCCTCTTTGGTGTAGTGTCTGTTCAGGTCCTCTGCCGATTTTTATTTGGATTGTTCAGGGTTTTCTTTTTCTTTTTGATATTGAGTTGTATAAGTTAATTTTTTANCGTCCTCTTTGGTGTAATGTCTGTTCAGGTCCTCTGCCCATTTTTTATTTGGATTGTTCAGGGTTTTCTTTTTCTTTTTGATATTGAGTTGTATAAGTTAATTTTTTATTCTTGGAAAATTTTTGCTCAGCATAGAAGTGGATTAATGATACAAGTGAGCAGGCTATGGGGTTTGGCGACCAGCATATGTTGGGCATTGCCATTAGGAATTGCTGAGCTGAGCTGTATCAGGTCTGGTTTAGAGAGATGGAGAAAAGGGGAGTTCAAGTGTGCATGTACTTTGTCTCATTTTTATGTGTGACATGATCCTGGAGCTCTGTGTGAGTTCTGAGAGGTACCTATATCAGCACCTGCCCTGGGAGGTCAGAATGCAGATTCTGGGTTGCACATAGCCGCAGAATTAGGTGTGGCATGAAGGAGGTAGTGGTGGATGTGGAGGTGACAGTTTTAAACAGCCACCCATGCTCCAGTTGAGCCATGTCCTTCTACACTGCCCTTTAACCTATGGCCCATTTCTGATTTTTGGCTATTTCTCAGTTTTCTTTCATTTTGTTATGTATAGTTCCCTGACCTCAGAAAACAATTAAAAACCTTTTTGGGTAATGGTAAGATAGTAAAGGTAGGAATATATTTTTTTCACTTTAGAGAAGTAGGATTGAGATCTTTTTAGTATAAAATAGACTGCTAGACTTCAAAATAAAAGCTCTGCATTTAGAGTTTTTTCATTTGTAATATATTTTTTTTAAATTTTGCCTTAGATTTGAAAAGTAATTTTAATTTATAAAAAGGTGTCCTATATTTTTCTTCTAATCTGTATGGGTAGAAAGATTTACCACCTGATCAAGTTGAAATTAGCTCTAATCAATGTACTGTGTGATTTCATTTATTTCATAATTGACTTAAAATAAAACTTTTATGTTAGCACTTACTTGATTTTTTTTTTTACAGTTTTAAACCTCTTGCATCCAATGATATATATATGATATTAAATTATTTTAGACTTTCGTGGTCTTAAAATACTTTTGCTTTCCTTAGCTGAAAAAAATCCCCAAATGGCTTATGATTTTAAAGGACTTCTTTTCCTCTTAGGGCAACTTCATTTGAAATACATTATCCCCTCCCTCTGAACCCCCTAGTCTGACCACACCCCAAACCCAAACCAGGCTTTTTTCTCTACTTTTGCTTTGCTGTTTTTTGGTTTTTGGTGGTTTGTGTGTATGTATTTCAGAAAGTTCACATTCATACCATATGAATAATTTCTTTAATATTTGAAAGGCACTAGCTTTTTAGGGTTTTAAGAAATTATACATTTGTTAAACTTCAGTAGTCATCTAAAAACATTATAGTTTAAGTTTGGATGAAATAGTTTAAAAATAATTATCAAAGAAGCTCTCATATGAGGAATGGAGACAAGTATGTTATTTCTGTTGTTAAAACTCCCCATTTTTAAAATTTCCAGTTACAGAAAAAAAAAGCACCTACATTTCTTACTGTTCTGTCATGTGGCTTGGCTTTGACTTAAGAGCGCGGTGCCCTGGAATGTTTCTTAGAATGTTTACATTGAAGATATAAATGACAAGTTGGTCTATGATGAAATGTCTGTGACTTTGATGAATTTAGATTGTTTTACTAAATATTAAAAATAATATTCCTCTTTATGCCATTTCCTAGATGTAGTGGACCCAAAGGAGAGGGGCAAGCTACTAACCACCCCAAGAGCAGCCGAATTGTCTAAAAAGTTAACTTCACCCAGTTCTTACTCATCAGTTGTGAATCAAGGTGGGACAGTAGGTAGCCCTAACCCTGATGACAACGTACTATTCACAGATGAAGGGGTTCCAAAGCTTTTGTCAAGAAAGACTTTGGTAGAGTTTCCTCAGAAAGTTCCAGCTTCATTCAGAAAACAGGGCTCCAGTTCAGAAGCTCCTCAGAAGAGCCGGAAAGTGACGGACAGTTCATCTTCCTCTTCCTCCAGCTCCTCCGATTCAGAGTCTGACGAGGAGGGGGTTGGCTCAAAAGTTGATTCTCAAGTGATGAGCAAAGGCAGAGGAAGGGCTCCAATACCAGAAGCCTCCCATCCCTTTGAAAAGAGAGCCCCGCAGATTTCAAAATCAGCAACAGAGAAGACCTGGTCACCACAGCCCCATCTGGACCTCCCCTCTCCAGAGAAGCCCCATCAGGCAAAGAAGAAAGGGACGTCCATTAAGCCACTGAAGGACAGAAAAGACGAACCGAAACCCACAGTGCCCAAGCCACAAGTAGATGAAGAGTTTATGAAGCAAAATGTGAAGGAAAAAGAGCCCCAGAAACTATTTAGCTCAAGTAAAGTAGGTAAAGAAAGCCAAACAGCATCTGAAGGTAAAAAAAGTTCATCTGACCACGCAAAATCAGGATTAGCTACACAGCCGAGTGGTGGCCCAGGGCCCAAGCGATCGACAGTAGGAACCACTGCAGGGAGACAGCTGCAAGCAGCTCCTCCTGAGACCAGGGGAAGACACCTAGAAAAACAAGCGCCAGAGCCTGGTGGGGAGGTGGCCCTTTTCCCGGTCAGAAAAGAAAATTTGGGGAAGCAGGTAATAGAAGGAATCTCAAAGGCTAACGAAGAGATTTTGGAAGATCAGGTACTGATGAAAAATTTGAAGCCAGTTCCTGTTCATAATAAAGATGCTTTTGATGAAAAGACAGCAGTACTAAAGCTTGAGGCAAAGGGCGAAGTCATGGAAGACTCGGCAACCCAAGTGGGAGACCAGGACGGCACACCGGGTACATATGCCTTGACTGTTGAGAACAGCTTGTCCTTCGGGGGTGGTTAGGCTGAAGAACTGTAGGATATTAAGGAGGATATACAGATTCTGTAGCAGAAATATGGCCTATAACTCTCAGATAAGCAGAGGAGTCTCTCTGAATTATGAATAATACACACCTTATATACATGACCCCTAAAACATTTGACATTTATTTTACAGGGAAAAAGGAGGCCCTTGGCACTCTTAACTGTTCCTTAACCAGGATAATTTTGAAAGCTGGCAGTGTAACTCGGCACCCTTGCCTTTGGAGGGTGTGCCAGTGTCCGCTTCATGACCTTGCAGAGTTGCAGGGGGGGGTCCTGTTTAATGTGAAGGGTGATAGCTACACTTGGTCCAGGGGTCCTCAGGTGAGCTAACAGGTGATAACTTTCAGCATCCTTGTGCCTGAGGGAAAACCCGCATATTAGGGATTCAAGTAATTACAAGTGACTCAAGGCAGCCATGGCCTGGGTAAATCTTTTCACCGGATTTTTCCCTTTTTGTTTTACCTGAAAACAGTGGGCTGCTTTAGTTTTCTGTAATGAATTTTTATGAAGGGCTTTTTCCCTACCACAGATTTTTAAAGGGAAAGTGTTTATTTCTGTTATGTAACCATTTTGTTGTGCATTGAACTTCATAAAATACAGTGTGCTTTAGGTAGGTCATGGCAAAACAGTAAAGGTCTCAACTTTTAGGATCTATCTCCTTAAGATGCCTTTAAAATGCATTACTAACAAACCCACCTCCGTCCTGTCTGTTCTTTATAATTTTTAAGGAGCATGCTTTTTTGCCTCATATACATTACCTGGTCATTGTTATCATTTGTGTTATGTTGACAGAATTTACGTGTTTTCTTCCCTCCTTTTTCTCCGTTTGTCATTAATATGCAAAGTGCCGGCACTTACCAGACTGCTCAGGACCTCAAGAACTGCATTGCCTGCTACTCCTATTTCCGTCATTCTGTTGCATGAGGAAAACCCAAACCTTCAGGAGGAAAACAGAATTTGGGGTTTTCAGGTTGCAAATATTTTTGAAAAAACTTTGCTTCTGATTTTTCGTGGACGTGTATTTTCTGATATTCTCCTTGCCCTTTGGAGGCACATGAAGCTGCCCGGGAGCGCAGAGGCTGTGTCTGCGCTGGACTGAATGTCGCTACGTCCACCTGGCTCCATGCCTCTGGGGGCATCGGTTTTTGATGAGTTTTCTGTACCCATGTTTACCTTCACTTTGAAGATGCCCCTACACCACATCGAAGATACTCTACTCGTGGAGATTGGAAAGATGTCAGTTCTTTAAATAACACATTTTGTTTAATACAACTAAGAAAAATGAAAAAGCTTTTGGTATGTTTCAAATAGTGGGAAAATGTGTTTTAAGTTCTATTTTGTGCAGCCCAGAGAGCCCCAGTGACAGAAGTTTGGGATCAGTGAGAACCTAACCAGCCCTCAGCCAGCGTCCACGCCAGCTTTGTCTGGCCGTCGTTCCGTCTCGCCCCTCCCCTTGCTGGGGAGCAGTCCTTCCGCTTCAGCCACACACTTTTACCTTTGAGATTACCACGTGTCCAGGTGCATGGATTCTGTTTTCCATTTAAGGAAACAAAACTAAGTAATTTTTAGTCCTAATCTAAAGTATACCAGCAACTTCTTCAAAAAAAGTTAAAACAGAAACTACACATCCCATTTCCAGTACCTGTTACCTGTGTTGTTATTAAAACAATTGGAGTTTATCTTACTGTCTTGTATTCAGAGACTTAGAAGAGACTTAGCTTCTGCTTTTCAAAAATTTCTTCTGTAATCATTTATTTCTATTTATTTCTAATCTCATTTTCCCTCTGCATCTTTATGTGACTTGAAAGTCCCTCCATAATTGTTCTAGGCATTTTCGAAATTCTGAGAAGTCCAGGGTCTAGACATAAAGTAAGATGTTAAGACACATTATGATAACTTCCATCTCTTACGTTGTTAAGACTGTATGCTTTAGAACAGACTCTCAGCTAATCTCTTGATTTCGGTTTTGAAGATTCTGTTGCTTTTATGGGCTTTTCTTTCTGAATTAGACACTTTACAGCAGGCAGGTTATAAAGAAGCTCTTTCCTTGTCCGATGTATTCACTGTTTGTTTCCCCCGCAGAGCCCGCACAGGCCGCCGCTCCCCCTGAGCCGTTTGACAACACCACCTACAAGAATCTCCAGCATCATGACTACACCGTGTACACCTTCTTAGACATAAACCTGCACCTCTCGAAATTGAGGTTGCCCCAGCCCTCTTCCGGCAGAGAGTCACCGCGCCACTGAGAGCTCAGTTTAATGATTCCCCTTACCTTGTCTGCTGCGTCACCTGCAAAATAAAGTTCGCTTAAGTTCCGAGGCCAGGCGTGTGTGATTGGTTTCCCTTGTATACCTTCACAGTGGGTGGTGAATCGGCAACCGACTGCTGAGCATTGACTCAGCATGTGTTGAGTTTTTATTTAAAGCTATGGATCACTGGACACATCCATAACGAGAGAATGTGGGTACTTTCTAGCAGTGTGGCTCTGGGGTGAGCCTTTAGTCAGTTTAGCAATAATCTGGGTTGGCAAATGGAATGGCAGCTTCTAATTTTATAGACCTTAATAAATTAGGAGTAGGAATTTGCTGATTTTAACTACTGTATTGCAAAGAAATAATAAAGCATTTTATCAGAAGGAACAGAATCCTTTTGTTCACTTGAATTAAGTATTTGATGTGTAAACGCGAAAGCTTTCAGTGGTGGGTTTAGGGAGAGGTGGAAGTTTTATGGGTTCCAGCAGCAGCTTTGTTCTTAGGTGGCTGTAGCCAACCCAGCTGAATTAGCTATGGTGGCCAAACAGCCTTCCATCTCAAGATGTTACCTGCCTGGGGAGGGGAGGTGTCATGCAGTGTCTGCACCAGGCACCCTGTGGGGATGGAGTGGGAACTGCTCTGAGAAAGTAACAGCTCTAGATTGGGGAGCTGCTGATGCGGAGATGAAAGAGCGTCTGGCCGTTAGGCAGCACCTCACGTCCTGAATTGGGAAGTTACCTGCTCATGCGGGACAGTGTCATCGTTTGGCTTCTCACGCTTCCCTTCTTGTTTATTGGCTTCGATTCATTTCATATGAACCCTGGTTTTGGCCTCCAGTCAACTTAGCAAACAACACAGTGGATTTGTAACTATGATTCACATTCCTGTAATCCTACATTTAAAATTAGTCCAAGTAAGAATTCCAAAATTGAAAACAGTCTTGAAAACTAGTACTAAGATTGTCTGCCTCAGATTTCCTTACCACCCAAGAGGCTTAGCAACTCAGCAAGTCTCCTAAGCATATTTTTTATTATGAAAGTAATAAAACCACATTACCAAAGGGAAAACAGAAAATAGTAAGATTACCTAAAATCCACTATGCTAACATTGTACGTGTTTCTCCAGTGGTGGCAGCTATAGTTAAATGTAATCATGTATAATGCACATACAGTTTTCTATTCTGCTGGGGGTTTTTTGTTTTATTTCATTAAATAGCATGCTTATCAAACTGGCCCACGGAACCCCTATAAAGTGCAGGGGTACACAGCATGGGGGGGAACTAGAATATGAAGCCACAGAATGCGTTTCCCTGGACTGCTAATGCCAGAGACTTGAAAGTCTTTATATAAAAAAATACGAACATATTTTCATGTGCATGAAGTGTATCCTTGGACCCAGTCCTGTGGGGCTGACTTTGTCTCCCTGGGACTTTGGTCCCCTCTCCTCCGCCCACTGAAAAGCCTTGAAAAGCAACAATAGGCAGCGCCTGGCGGGTCTGTCTTTTAGACCCATCATTGCTAATGACTCTTGTGTCCCATCTGGTGGTGACATGATGGTTGCCCACCAAGCGCAGTTTGGGATGTTATTTCCTGCGTTCTCGTTTGAGGGCTGCCACCAGAAGCAGCGCCGTGAATGTACCTTGTTTTGGGTTTGGATTGTCTCCTTAAGATGGATTTCCAGAAATGGATCTGATGGGTCGCGTGATTCGTGAACATTCGTCTTCCTTTGATTTCTGCAAGATATTTTTAAGCAGTTTCACAGGTTTGAGTTAAATAAGGTAGGCAGTTATTTTAACTTTTATTTTTCCCATCACCTGCACTCTGACATCTTTCTAGAACTTTGTTCTCTCATACCTGTCAAGTCCCTGTGGACTGGAGGAGATGTGTGTAAGTCACAAGTCCAGCCCTTGCATGTTTCCTGGCAGCTGGCTAATGACTGAATACCAGCAGATGATTTGGGGGCGGGGGCGTCTAATTCTGCTTCCCGGCGTGTGCTTTGTGTTTTAATAGTTCCTGTCCTGCCTGTCTCTCTAGCACTGAGAACCCGGGATATGCTCAGCGGCTCGCCCAGTGCTGCCTGACCTGGCCCCGTGCCTGCACCAGGAAGCAATCGAGGTCTGTGGAATGAGCTCAGCACAGCACAGGCTGACTGTACCCTGCAGGATGCTGCAGGAGACAGAGATGCTACAAAATCCATTTGTCCTGTGGAAGCAGGGAGTGACGGACTTTCTGCAAGATGCCAGAGAGTAAATATTTTAGGCTTTGCCTCATACGTGCGGTCAGTGTTCCACAGACTTCTTTCTTTTTAACCCTTCAAGAATGTTAAGATCATTCTTAGCTTGTGGGCCTCACACAGAGACAGAGAGCAGGGTTTCTCTGAAGGGCTGCAGTTTGTGGACCCCGGTATTAAAGGGCTCCTCATAGATCATTGAATTGATTAAAAGGACTGACCAGAGAGAAGACTCGATGAGTGGTGTGTCCCAGGTGCCCGGCCTCCTGGTCCCACCTCCTCTCCCTGACCGGCTGTCCCTTTTCCCTCCCCTTGCCCTTATTCTGGAAGGAATCTGAAAAACACTGGAATATAAAACACCAGCAGCTAACGTGCGGTTTCCTCCAGAGCAATTTTCACTCTCCCGGGCCTGTAATAAACATTACTGTAAATGCCTCGTAAGTGCCAGGCCTGGGCTGGGGCTGGGGGTTCAGAGAGGATAAACACTGTCTCTCCCGAGGAAGGGAGGGAGGTGAGTGCAAAGCTCCCCAGGTAACATGCCTCGTCCAATGACAGCAGGGTGGTAACAGGTGAAGGTGGGTGTTCACAGGGGGCTTGTGGGGCATGACAGCTCACTCCAACGTTGAAAGGTGACCAGGAATTCACCCCGTGCCGGTGGAATTGTGGAGGGAGCCCCGAGGGTCTTCAAGGCATCGAGATGGGTATATGCAAAGGCCGGATGCTGAGACACAAGTGGTTTTCAGGACACTAAGTTCTTTGGCATTGCTGGAGGCTCCGTTTGAGAGGGGACACACTTAGACTGGATGAGTAATGGGGCTGAATCACGAGGCGTGGGCTCTGGGTTAGTCAGTCCTGCCGCATCAAAATACCACGGAGAATGGCTTAAACAACAGATTTATCGTCTCAGGTGTCCAGAGGCTGCAGAGCCCAAGATCAAGGTGCTGGCCGATCTGGCTCGTGGCTAGAGTGCTCTTCCTGGCTTGCAGGGGCTGCCTCCTAACCCGCCGCGTCGGGGATTAGGGTTACAAACTTGTGCATTTGGAGGGACACCAGCCTTCAGCCCGTATGCGATCTTACCTGTAGGAAAATAATTTAGTAGCTCTCCCATTTTATAAAGAGAACCAAACTGACCACTTGTTTGAAATACCGGACAAAAAAGGAGGGACAGGGCTGCAGCCGAGGAGATGAGAACGAACGGTAAGACGCTGCTAAGTGTTGAGACTGGGTGGTGGGCACCTGGAAGTTCATGATTCTGCTCTAACTTTCCAAGGGCTTGGGAGCCTTCATAATAAAAAGAATTTTAAAAACCCTACTACTCATATGGAGACTAAAGTCGAAAAGGAAGAAACCTGAGACAGAGAGAGGAGACAGGTCACCTTGCGGTCCCTCCAGGCAGGGTGACAATGTGCTGCGCTGCAGTGGGGCTCTTCGGGGGGCGGCCGGGTGACCTAGAGGTCTGGGCAGACGTAGCCACGCTGCCGTCCTGAAAGGTCAAGCAGGTCTGTAGTCTTTCCAACAGTTTACGAACAGACCTGTCCCCTCACACCCTTGCCAACAGCAGGTATCACAGTCTCTGATACCTGCTAATCTGATTTAACTTTTATCCCAAGTGTGGGTGAGTTTGTATTTCCTGCAGGCTCGCAGGCACAAAAAGCGAGCTGCTTGGGTCATAAGCATGTGTCTCCATCTCTTGTTCTATCTGCTCTATTATTTGATACAGTTCTTCAATTTCAGCAAATTTTCCTGTGGTGAATCTAAATATATTTTCTATTTTCCATTTGTTTGGACGTCTAACCATTGATGATACCACTTTCGTCTGCCTTTCTTAGAGAAAGTATCAACCACGAGCCCTTCATGGGAGAACGATTAGACAATGAAACCCAGCAAAGAGGCGATGATTAACGTGAAAACTCAGAAATTAAGGAGCCAGGGTAAAAGGCCTGGGCTCGGGTGTGGAATTCACTTACATGTAGAACTAAGACGAAACAAGCCCGAGACCATGGTCGCAGGACAGGCCGAAACTGTTACAAACCCTGACAAAGTAAAAAGCATAGAAACTAAGGACTGGAGGCAGGAGCGGGAGCTGGGAGGCCGCCGGAGAGGGCCCAGCTCATCTTTCAGAGCAAGTGGGCCCTAAAATAGAAACGGGCTCAGGAGGCAGGCCCGTCGCAGTGCCCACAGCCTGCCCTCCATGGCAGGGGCTTACTAGGAACCAGTGTGTTTTGAAAAACACATTTATTTATCTGAAGTTTAGAAATCCCTTCATTTTTACTTCAATTCCTTTTTATCGATTAGATTTAATAATTTAATGCTTTGTATTTTTAAAAGTGTCAAAATGAGTTCTTTTATGTCTGACAGGTCCTTGTACAGAAAATACTCTTTTTAAGTTGATATTTAAATTTTTAAAAATGTATTGTAAAATTTAAACAAAAGTTTAAATCAAAGCTTTAAAATATTTTAATATTCAATCTTTTAAAAAATCTAATTTTTCTTAAAGCCTTTTTTACAAATCTTCTAATATATTTAGTAGTCATTTTTTTAACAATCAATTCTAAACTTAAAAAATAAAATTTTATTGGACATGCATTTCTTAGTGAGATGTATTGGAATTATTCTTTTCCATTAGATTTTATTTCCTTGAATGAATACTACTTAAGGCTAGAACAGTTTAATGAAAATTAATAGCCAAGAGAGGGAGTGTAGACCACTACCAGGGATGGTTTTGTGGAGCCTAAAGCTCATAGAGCTTTTTCTAATAAAAAATAATGCAGAATTATGAATTCAAAGTAAGATATAAAAGTGAATATTATTTAGAATGAGAAAAAAAACTTACAAATTTTACAAGCTGGTAGATACCATAAACCTCACAAAATCCAGAAAAATAACATGATATTTTTATAAACTGCTTGAGATACCTCTATATGTGTCAGGCAGTTAATTAAAAAACTTTTGGCTGCGTACCTTTCGATTGTTTTTTCACATGACAATTTTGTAGTATATTTTGCTGGAATATAAAGGTAATTCAGCCCAGCGGGCGTGGCTCAGCGGTTGAGCATTGACCTGGGATCCAGGAGATCGTGGTTCGATTCCCGGTCAGGGCACGTGCCCGGGTCTCAGGCTCGATCCCAGCAGGGGGCGCGCAGGAGGCAGCCGATCAATGACTCTCATCACTGATGTTTCTCACCCTCTCCCTCTCTCTGAAATCAATAAAGACATATTTAAATAAGTAAAGGTACTTCAGTCTTTCTCCCTGCATGGTTGGTCAAAATTTGTTCTTTGATAGTTAAGGTACATAAAAAATGTGACCGCACACACAGACGTCCTTGCTGTTTGTACTAACACAGGAATTGTGGTGAATTTATTTCACACAATTCCCATCAAAACAGAAAAAGTGAAGCCTGGTTTCACTGCGCAGGCGGCACTGGGAAGGACGTTCCTGACGGGGGAGCAGCTCTGTCGGGGGTAGGGATGGGAGCCAAACCCTCTGCTTACAACTTTTCACGAGGGAAGGAATTTCCCACCAACGAGCTTCTGGCTTGTGAACGTCAAAACCTGCTTCCCCTTCCCCTCCACCTGCTTCTGGTGCCAAGCACCTCAGGACATGGTCATGTCTCATGTTCATGGTCGTATCATGTATGCAGCCACATCACACGTCCTGGGTCATGTCACATGGTCAGAGCACATGTTTGTGACCATATCACATGTTCCTGGTCAAGTCATATGTTCATGATCATATCATAGGTTCATGGTCATGTTACATGTTCATGGCCATGTCTCATGTTCCCGGTCATGTCTCATGGTCATGATCATATCACAGGTTCATGGTCATGTCACATGGTCATGTTCGTATGCTGTGGTCGCCACCCTCCCAGCACCATGCCTGGTGGGTGAGCTCGGGGGAAGCAGGTAGGTGGCTGGAAGCCATTCCCACACCAGACAGCTGCCAGTAGCTCAGGCACACAGGGAAGTCAGCGCGGACCCATAAATGCATCTACTAAACCCAGACCAAGTGGACCCACTGCCAGGTCCCAGCATGCCCCCTGCCAGTCCAACGCCAGGCAAAGGGGAGGCATGGCTGAGGGAGCAGAGTGGAAAGAGGCTATGGTCGTAAGTGATTGTGATCAAAATTACTGACTTTTACAAATTTGACATGTGACTATGTGAAGCCTGGGCTGGACCCCACCCCGCCCCTAGGGAGGGCCTGAAGCTGGTCTCCTGGGCCGGGTGGGGCGCCGCCTCTGGACGGTAGTAAGTCCCGGGCTTGCACATGTGCCTTAATGATGGCCGAGGGCATCTCTACACTAAACGCCACAGCACCGTCCCGGTAAGTTCGTCTAAGCCCAACCAGTACATGTAGAAGAAATGAGTGACTCGGTTGACAAGGACAGCAGGCAAGACTGTGAGAATAATGGATTTATAGTGTTCAATTACCTTTTGGCAAAAATCAATGACTGTTTTTCCCACAAGTAGAAGAACTTATAAACACTCAATTATCTGCAATACTCTTTCAAGTATGGACTTTCCCATCTCCTTGAAGCCACATAAAACCTGCAGCTTCGCCCACCAGTGAGCGCACTGGCCACAGCTTCCTCTGGGGACAGAGCAGAGGATGCGCCATGGCTGGCGTCCCCAGCGTGCTTTCTGCAAATACTGAGCACTGGCGTTCTGTGACAGGTGGACGGCGAGGTGAGGCCTTGGACTTGCCCAAAGTTGTTGCCCTGATGAAACGGGGCCACACTCAGGGTTCCACCTGGCCTCTGCTCTACTGTCCGAGGACCCTCCTTCCTCCCGCACCAGAGGCAGAAGAGAGAGGCACAGCTGCCGGTGACCACGGCCCTTCCCGGTTAGGAAACATGCCGACACGGGCCCAGCGATCCGTGTCTGCCCCACATGTTGTACCCCTAAACAGAGACACAGATGTAAGACTAGGGAGGGTGGAAGCCCGTGTGGGTCCTGGAGCCTGGACTAGCCGGCCTTCCTCTGGCACGGTGAGGGGTCCCCGTGTGGGGTGCATCGCTGGAGGCCTCCAGGTGGGCGAGGTGCAGCCTTCCTCTGTAGGGGGGAGCAGGGTACTGGTGGTAAGTGATGCTCGCGGCTTCTCCAGAGCATCGACTCTGCGGGAGGACCAAGGGAAGGTGCGGTGCCCGCCGTGGGCCCCAGGCGCTGTGCGAGGCCCCGTAGCCTTTCCTTTAAGCGGGGCTGGACGCTCACACGTCACGTGATGCTGGGAATGAAACCATGAAATCGTGAAACCGAATCGCCCTCCTGGGTCACTGTGGGTGGAGTGGGACTGCTGGCCAGCGGAGGGTGAAGACCGTGAAGTGGGTGTCGCAGAAAGCGGGCTGTTGGGGCTCCAGTTAAGAAGCAACTCTTCTTAGCAAATAAGGTTGAAAATGGCTCTTTCATTGTCCCCACCTGCTGCATCCCCAGCCTAGCAATCGGGAGACAGACCATCGCCCGAGACAGCCAAGCCAGCCCCGGGTCTGACACAGGTGCCCAGCGGCCTGGGAACACACAAAAGGGGCGAGTTTGGGAAGAAAGGGGGGCGGCTTCGCGCTTCAGGCGGTGCAGGCCTGACTGACCCCCGGACTCCCTCCCTCGGTGAAAGCTGCCCGGAGGCTCCCTGGGCCACTCTGTCCCAGGGGCCGGCCCCACGCGGGAGCGAGGCCCACCCTCGGGGGGAAGATCCTGCCTCTCCACCTCCGCACCCGCCGGCAGTGTTTTCCTCCTTCCTTTTAAGCTCTCGCTTTGAAATCTTAGGAAATGGAGCCCAGGCTCTGAGCGTATCTCGATGTTTTTAGTTCATCGCAAGCCGTGCCAAGGTTTTTATTTTTAAATGCGGGGCTTAAAATATATCTTCCTCAGCTCTGAGCCAGGCGGGGGGAGCCAAAGCAGAGCGCCGGCGTCCTCAGAACATATGGCCCGTCGCCGCCTCCGGAACGAGGGAAGGCTCAGGGAAGAAAGGAAGTTCTGGAACGAAATAAAAATGCAGGTTTATTGCGTGCAAATGGGCAAAGCCTCATGCCACTGAAAGCTGTTTTGAGAGAGAGAGAATTTAAACTATAGAGTTGATGGAAAAGAGAAAAAAAAAAAGGAAAGGGGTAGGGAAGACATTCCCAAAACTGGCCTAGGCACTGGTGACCTGAAGGCCCTACTGAGAATGGACACAGGACACAGGAGGGAGGGAGAGGCGCCGCCAATAAATGCAGCATGTAATTTGGGACATAGCCGAACATGCACAGGCCGCTCTCAGTGAGGCCCCTCCCCGGGATGGGCCCCCTCGGCCCGAGCGGTGCTAAGCTCAGTTCCTTCTCTTTCTGCGGCTTTAGGTTTCCACCGTCCTCCGTTTTCATTGTGCCGCTGGGTCCTTTAAAGCATCCTGGTTGCACCGCCAGATACAGTCGCAAACTAAGGTCACCTACACGCGGGGGACCCCTTAAACAGCTTACGGCGCTTGAACTATTTTTAAGGTTTACTTTCCAGCATCTTTTGATGTTCTCTGTATTTGTTTGTTTGTTTGTTTCAATCTTCTAGTTATTTAGTCTAAAATCCGTAACTCTCTCCCCATGCGTTTAGCACGCTGGGAGTTCCCAGGTCTCTCTTCTGCTTCCAGCGAAGGCTACATTTTGTATTATTGTGATTAAGGATGTGACCATGTCCGAGAGTAAGGAATCTTAAGTAGTGCTATTGGAAAAATCAACATTTTAGACACTTGAATTTATTATTGGAGTTAGAGTGTCATCAGAAAAAAATGTGCACAACCAACAGGGACTGTCGGTAGTGTAATTGCAGAGGTATTAGGTTAATATATAATGTATAAGCCTGTGTAACGGAGAGTTTTTATTCATCATAAAATTTTCAAATGACTCGCAGATGTGCAGCCCTTGCAGCTGTTTCTCCCTCGCTAATGGCTTTAGGCTCTGACTCAGAGAGATATTTTGTGCCAGCGGATTCTGGCAAGGACTCCGGTCCTTGTGATACTCCCCGGGAGGAAACCATTCATTGTCAGCAGGGGTGACGATGACGAACCAATAAAATGCCGAACAGGGAGGGGCTGGTGGAGGGAGAAGGCTGGGGCCTGGCGTGCCAAGAGGACTGCTTTGGAGCTGATTTCAAAAAGAAATGTATGGACCTCAAAATTCTTCCTGTTGATTTACGCAAATCTGTTTCTATTTACAAAGTATACT